GAAAAGAAAGAAAGAAAGAAAAAAGAGATAGCAAGAGGAGGAACAGAAAGAAAGAAAGAAAAAAAAAAGCAAGAGTAGGAAAAGAAAGAAAAAAGAGATAGCAAGAGGGGGAAAAGAATAAAAGAGAGATGCAGAGGGAAAAAGAAAGAAAGAGACAGCAAGAGGGGAAAAAAGAATGGAAAAAAGAGATAGCCAAGGGGAAAAGAAAGAAAAAAGAAGATAGCAAAGAGGGGAAAGAAAAGAAAAAAAGATAGCAAGAGGGAAAAAAAGAGACATTGCAAGGGGGGGGGGGGAAGAAAGAAAAAAGAGATAGCAAGAGGGGGAAAAGAAAGAAAAAGAGATAGCAGAGGGGAAGAAGAAAAGAAAGAAAAAAGAGATAGCAAGAGGCGGAAAAGAATTTAAAAAAAAATAGCAAGAGGGGGAAAAGAATGAAAAAAAAAGAGCACAAGGGGAAAAGAAAAAAAAGAGATAGCAAGAGGGGAAAAAGAACAAACAAAGAGATAGCAAGAGGCGAAAAAGAAAGAAAAAAAGAGATAGCAAGAGGGGGAGAGAAAGAAAAAGAGATAGTACAAGGGGAAAAGAATGAAAAAAGAGATAGCAAGAGGGGCAAAAGAAAGAAAAAAGAGATAGCAAGAGGGGAAAAAGAAAGAAAAAAGAGATACCAAGAGGGGGAAAAGAAAGAAAAAAGAGATAGCAAGAGGGGGAAAAGAATGAAAAAAGAGATAGCAAGAGGGGGACAAGAAAGAAAAAAGAGATAGCAAGAGGGGGAAAAGAAAGAGAAAGACAGCAAGAGGGGGAAAAGAAAGAAAGAAAAAGATAGCAAGAGAGGGAAAAGAAAGAAAAAAGAGATAGCAAGAGAGGGAAAAGAAAGAAAAGAAAGATAGCAAGAGGGGGGAAAGAAAGAAAAAAGAGATAGCAAGAGGGGGAAAAGAATGAAAAAAGAGATAGCAAGAGGGGGAAAAGAAAGAAAAAAGAAATAGCAAGAGGGAAAAAAAAGAGATAGCAAGAGGCGAAAAGGAAAGAAAAAAAGATATAGCAAGAGGGGGAAAGAAAGAAAAAGAGATAGCACAAGGGGAAAAGAATGAAAAAAGAGATAGCACAAGGGGAAAAGAATGAAAAAAGAGATAGCAAGAGGGGGGAAAAGAAAGAAAAAAGAGATAGCAAGAGGGGGAAAAGAATGAAAAAAGAGATAGCAAGAGGGGGACAAGAAAGAAAAAAGAGATAGCAAGAGGGGGACAAGAAAGAAAAAGATAGCAAGAGGGGGAAAAGAAAGAAAGAAAAAGATAGCAAGAGAAGGAAAAGAAAGAAAAAAGAGATAGCAAGGGGGGGAAAAGAAAGAAAAAAGAGATAGCAAGAGGGGGAAAAGAAAGAAAAAAGAGATAGCAAGAGAGGGAAAAGAAAGAAAAAAGAGATAGCAGAGGGGGAAAAAGAAAGAAAGAAAAGTGATAGCAAGAGGGGGAAAAAGAAAAAAGAGATAGCAAGAGGGGGGAAAGAAGAAAAAAGAGATAGCAAGAGGGGCAAAAGAAAGAAAAAAGAGATAGCAAGAGGGGGAAAAGAAAGAAAAAAGAGATAGCAAGAGGGGAAAAGAAAGAAAAAAGAGATAGCAAGAGGGGGAAAAGAAAGAAAAAAGAGATAGCAAGAGAGAAAAGAAAAGAAAAAAGAGAAAAGAGATAGCAAGAGGGAGAAAAGAAAGAAAGAGATAGCAAAGAGGGGATAGCAAGAGGGGAAAAGAAAGAAAAAAGAAGATAGCAAGAGAGAAAGAAGAAAAGAAAAAAAAGATAGCAAGAGGGGAAAAGAAAAGAAGCAGAAAAAAGAGAGATAGCAAGAGGGGAGGAATAAGAAAGAAAAAAGGAAAGAGGGAGAAAAGAGAAAAAGATAGCAATAGCAAGAGGAAAGAAGAAAAAAATAGCAAGAGGGAAAAAGAAAGAAAAAGATAGCAAGAAAAGAAATGAAAGAAAAGAAGAAAAGAAGCAAGAGGGGGAAAAAAGAAAAGAGATAGCAATGGGGGTGGGGGGTGGGGGGGAAAGCAAGAAAAAAAAGGAAAGAGATAGCAAGAGAGATGAAATAAAGAGAAAAGAAATAGTGGGAGAGAGAAAAGAGATAGCAAAAGAGAAAAGAAAGAAAAGAGAGAAAAGAAACACAAAAGAGAAAAGAAAGAGAAAAGGAGAAAAGAGTGAGAGAGAAAAGGAAGAGAAAAAAGTTAGTGAGAGAAAAGGAATAGAAAAGATTCAGTGAGAGAGAAAAGGAAAAGAAAAGAGATAGCGAGAGAGAAAAGAACGAGAAAAGAGATGGTGAGAGAAAAAAGAAAGAGAAAAGA